AACTTACCTTATGAGGCCGAAGAGTTACACCTTAACCCAATCGACCTATAAGATCATATATCAATTGGTGTAGTTTTTATTATTATTAATATTGTTAAAAATGTTAAAGTTATTTAATTTTAACTTTCTTAAATAGTGTTTAAAAATATTAATTTATTAATTAATTTAAATTATTAAGTAATAAATATTAAGTATTTAATTAATTACTAATTAATAATTATAAATAATAATTATTTTTATTAATTAAATTAAATAAAATGAATCTTTTTAAAGATAATATTTTATAATTTTACTAACTATAATATTTTTATTAATCACTATAACAATGCCCAACAACAACAACAACGCCCACACACATCTGGGGCCGTTCCGAACACCAAGTTTTGCCACATTGTTTTCACAAGCAACACGCATCTGGACCATCGTTCGCAGATTAGAGTCTAAGTGCCTAACCTTGACCTTTTTCTTTTTTATATATATATATATATTGATTGCATAATGAGAGGTAACCTTCTTTTATTTTTTATTCTATCATATTTATATGTTATGTGACTTAAACTTAAAATCTTTTATTTTTAATAAAAAAAAATTACCATTGAATTATAATATTTTACTTCTAATAAAAAAAATTATCATTGAATGACATAAATCATTCGAACGCCTAACCTTGATTTTTTTCGTAGACCATTGTTTTGAATTTAACTCTAACGTGTGCAGGCTATAATCTCAAGTTACACCCCAGAAAAAGACTATCCCAAACTAATTAAGAAGACCGCACCTGCAGCAGTGGCAGTAATAAAAGGGCGCACCTTAGATCATGAATACTATTACAATTTAAATTTTTGTGATGTAATGTTTTTAAATTATCTTACGTTCAAAAAAAAAAAAATAATAACAAGACCATAACAAGCATTAGTGAAAAAATTGCACAATCAGTACTTTACTAATAGAATCGTTCCAACACTCCAACTCAGATTTGTCTGTGCCTGCCAATTCATGTTTCAAGTGGACACCATGGAATCAGTTTAATACAGATTTGGATTTCAAATGTTTTCTGCTTAGTATTATTCCTTCAAAACAGTCTAATTTGGTTTAAATTAAGATCACAAAAAGGTGTTCCAACCCATTTTGCAGAATTTTGTATAGGTTGTCCTGACCATCAATATTCTTTTACTTTGATGTGTTTTCTGAATTTCTAGCTACATCAAAATCTGCAACAGTTGCATTTTGGTGAGGACAATAACTGAAACATGGAGTCATGAGACGATCAAGAAAAACAATATTTGCCACGACAGTCTATGCGACTTAAGCTAAGCCTATAAAAAGTTTTCTTTCGCATGATTGATTCCACAAGCAAAACGTCGGTGGGTGGGAAATGAGGTTGTCTCATTTCAACTACCAGTCTGAAAACCTTGATATACCTTCTATCTTTTGCAATCCCACTCAAATCACCAATACCCTTTTGTCTCCCACTTCGCAATTCGTCCAAATGCTGATTTTTGTTTAGACGATACCTGCCACTATCTTATTCTGAAAGAGACTGCTCCAACAAAGGCAATAACTGGAACATGGGCAATTGGCCATCTTTTTGTGGTGTAGAATTTCAACATCCGGGTACAGGATTGTAAGAAATTGAAGGAAGATATTTTCAAGGAGAGAATGCTAAGTAGGATAAGGCTTGTGAGGAACAGAAAATGCAATCATACACTAAAAAAAACAAATAGATTGTTCTAGAAAGCAGTATACTAGAATACGTTTACAAACATAAGTTCTAAGGATACTCAGAATCGAGGAGGATGGCTATACAGCGAAAATACGCAAATAAACGGACCACAGAAAAGAGAAGGAATCAACAAAATGCTGCCTACATGCTGATGATATTCACTCTGATCCAAAATAAAATGAACTCAAGCCTTCCACCCATAGTTGTAATTGTCTCTCCGGTTGTTCCTAAATGCACAGCAACCGATTGAGTATGTAGCAATGAGGAAAATGAGGAACACGATGCAGACAATGGCCACCTTCTTCCATTGGCCCTTGATGTTGTCTAGCAGGCCAGCCTTGCACGAATTGCAGTTGAAGCATAGAGTGCTTGGATCATTGCTCCAGGCACTACAATCAGTGTCGGTGTAGTTCCCGGTAGTGTTGGTCCAGTTAATTGGGCTGACATAGGTGAATCCACAGTCATCTGATGGCTTGCAGCAACCAGACTGCAATTTAACAAATGCGTTAGAAAAAGGCAAATAAAACTCGAGCAAATCAGAAAAAGGGAAATATAATATCAGCGTAGAATTAATTACTCAAACCCAAATTTAAATTCCATAAAAAAGAAAGGAGAGCTTATTTGAAAAGAACACACAAAATCATAAGAAGAAAACCAAGAGGTCGGGATATTCACCAAAAATATTTCAGAGTATCAACAAGTACAAATTTCCAAACTACCAGGCATCTGCAGGTTTGCCATAAGACTTTGGTTGAACTTTAAGGCCAAATCTAAGAAGAAAATGTCTAAAAAATTCAGAGAGAATGCCAGATCTTTTGGCTAAAGCACAAGAAGAGTACATATATTACCCCCAAAAAAATTGCTGTAATCCAAAATTTAGTTAAAAGAGAAAAAAAATAAAAATTGATCTTTGTCTTTCCATGAAAATTCAATCTAGAAAAGAGAAACAACCTTTTTATAATAAAAGTTGGGACCTTATAAGCCCTTTCTCCTAAACTAAAAGATAAGGCTGAAAGCCACTCTTTTGCTGAACAAAGAGAGAAAAAATAAAAATGAAGAGAACAAAAAGAGAACAGAATCAACAAAAAGCAGAAAAAGAAAAGAGAGGCATCAAAAACCACTTTGATTCAGGAAAATCACGCAATACATCGAAAGAATAAAAGAATATAGAATATACTTGGCAGAGAAATTATAATTTCCTAAACAAAAAGATAGTGGTTCCACTTTAGAAACCCAATTCAAAACTTCAAATTAAAGAGAAAAACCAATTCAGGTCAAATAACTTCAAAAGCTAAATTCAAACTCTGTTTCGAAGAAATTAAAGTTCAAGAATTTGCTTCAACAATTGTCTTCAACAACGAAGCTCAGTAATTACCAAAAAAATAAGAAAAATAAAACTGAACCTCAGATCACAAGCTAGAAGCTAAGATCAAGTAAAAAATGAAAATAAATAAATAAATATATAATTTGAAAAAAAAAAAAAAAAGAGAACTAGTCCAGATCCAAAAAAATATAATACCTGAATGGCAGTGAGTTCCTCTTTGTAGAACTCCTCGAGAGTATCATTGAGATGCTTTTCATTAAAAGTGGAGCAAACCTTGCTATCGATCAAGCAACTCTTGATCTTGTTCCAATTCTTAGTGTCGTTGACTCTCTTCTGCAACCAGTTGGAATAATCACCGAGCCGGTACTGTTTATACCCCCTGCCGGACACCACCTCTCCGGCTCCTTTATTGGTCACCACAAAAGCGAAAACCGTGAAGCAGATGCCAACGAGGATCAGGATAAACATGACCACGAGGTACAACCAGAGCAGCCAGTTGACGCCACAGCACGCGCCGATCAAGCCGGCCAGAGAGACGACCATGAGAAAGACACCGACAATGATAACCGGCGTGTCGAGGAAGCGCTCGCATTCCGTGGAGCCGTGGCTTCTCAGCCAGATTCCAGCAACGAGGATCGGAATCGAGAGCAAGAAAGTTATAATGTTGAGGATTCCAATTAGGTTGTTGCTCAGCCGAAACGCCATCGCTATACCTGCTTGGGACGATTAGGTCGCTGTTCAGATGAAGGGAAGATTAATTAAGAGGAAACGTGAAGAAAGTAGGAATCGTTGAGAGATATCGACGTTTGGATGGTATATAAATACACAAGGAAAAGGGGGAATATATATAGAGAGGTTACAAGAAAGGGAAGCTTCTGACCTCGTGTCTTCTACGAGTAGCCATTTATTTATTTTTTTTCACGCGTCTTAGGCGTTTTTATTTTTAAACCGGTAATTTTTCTTCAATCTGTAATTCATGCTATCTAGGAATAACTTACATAAAGAAATTTTAAAAATATAATAAAGTTTTTGACATAACAGTTTAAATTTAATAGTTAATGATTTTATTTAATTTAATAAATTAAAATATTCAAATTAATAATAATATTTATTATTAATTATTAAATTAAAGAAATTATTAATTATTAGACCAAAAATTTGATATAATTCGGAGTATTAATTCTTTTGATTAGTCCAACAATTTTGTGAAACAATAAAACAAACACGGCTTCAAGTTAAAATGGCAATTATGACTACAAAAATCTGCTCCTCAAAATGGAAAATATATATTGTTTTGATTAAACCCCTCTTTGGCCTATAATGTATTTTTCTGGTAATTTCTTCTGCCTAAAGTTACTAACATTAAATTTGATAGAATATCATCAATCTATTCAGTTAATTATTTTATTTATGTAATAATATAGGTATTCAGAAATATATTCAGACTAATTTGCATATTATTAAAAGGTGAATTTTTTTGGGTAAGTATACAAAAGGTGAATTATTGAAGATTATACGTATATTTGAAGCATGTGAGGAAACTAATATTCTATTTGTGACTTATGCATTTCTAAGGTTGATATGTGGGGCAGGCTTTTCTTGAATTTGCCTTCACAATATGTAGCTTATTATTGTTTTGAAGAGTTCTTGAATCAGCAGATTTTGACTAGTTTTATGCTTGAAAATGAAAGAACTATTATTAAAAATGGCCGCCACGTTGAGTTAAATTGTGATAAATTGAAGTTGGTGTGATGTATTTTTCTTTATGCCAGTGTTCACAAAAGGGAGGGATTGGTAAATGAAGGATTTGGTCAGAGGCTGCAACGGTTCGTTTACACGTCGGCGGAGAGCGGTGGCACTTCCCGGTTTAGTACGCTTCGAATTTCAAAATCTTGGTGGAAATGAAGAAGGAAACTATGGTGATTGTGTTACCTAATATTATAAATTTATAATATAATTTATTATTATATAATTAATTTTTTTATTTTTATTTATAATATGATATATAAAAATTAGTATATATTAATTTTGATTTAAAAAATAATTAAAATTTTAATTTATATTTAAAAATTAAAATTTTAATTTAAAATTAAAAAATTTAATTAATTTTTAAATCTAAATATCAATATTTAATATATGAATTTTTAAATTTTAAATTAAGTTTTAATTAAATAAAATGATATGTTTTAAGGTTAAGATTTTAACTTTTTAAAGAGTCGAAATTGATATGTATTTTTTTATATATTTAATATTATGTTATAATTACAAATTGAGAATAATGTTTATCCATTTTATCTTTTAAAAATTAAGAGAAAAATTATTCTAAAATTATGTCGTTTCAGTAAATTTTCATTGAAAAAAAATTAAAATATCATTTTTTAAAACATATATTTAAGTGTTTTTTATTTTTTCCTATAATACTTTATTGAAATGATGTAGTTTAATGTAATTTTGAAATAATTTTTCTCATAATCTTTAAAATGTAAGATAGATAAGCATTAACTTGTTATAAATTTATTTATATTTTTTTTTGAAAATATTTGCAAGGGGTGGGTTTCGAACCCAGCCCGGAGAGGAGGGAATGCACCGGAGTGGCTATTGCCACTAGGCCGCAAGGGCCAGGTGCAACTTTTTATAAATTTATAATCATACGTAATATTATAATTATAATATCATCAAATGAAGAAAGATTATAGGGAGGTAAATATTTTTTAATGAAAAGAAATTCACTCACACATAAATTTTATACACTACATTTATGTAGAATCTTAACTATTTACTTTTTTACCTTTAATGGTTGTGGTTTGTAAATATTTTTTAGGTAAAAAGATAAATATTTTTAATAAATATGAATAAATTTGAATTATTAAAAGTGAGAAAATAAATAATTAAAATTTTATATAAATATAATATGTAAGATTTATGTATAAATAAATTTTTATTTTTTTTATAAAAATAAAATATAAATATTATATATTTAAATTATGATACTAGTGTATATCAATTTTTAACTTTAAAAAAAATTAAAGCCTCCATATATATATTTAAAAGTTGAAATCTTAATTCAAAATTAAAAAATTTAATTAGTTTTTCAATCTAAATATTAATATTTAATTTAATAAATTTTTAAATTTTAAATTTAAATTTAATTAAATAAAATAAAATAATTTTAAATTAAAATT